GCCCCGGCAGCGGCCCCTAGTTGGAGCGCATTCGGCCCGGGCTGACAGCCAGGCACCCAAGAGAAAAGGGACCGGAGGGGTGGTATCTCACGCGGAAAGCAGACTCGGGCCAGGCCTGGGGGCGTGTCGGCGCTGTTACCTCCGAACTCTGGGCGCTGCGCGCGATCCACCTCACCGCGGCTGCGACCGACACCTCCTCTCGCAGCAGCGACTCCAAAACGGCCGCCATCCCGGTCGGGGCACTTGAACGCGATTGCGCAGGCGCCGACGCGCCACGGGCGGCCTGGGAGGGGCGGGGCCGGCGCGGAGGAGCGACCGTTGGGCCGCGGGGCGGAGGGGCGGGGCTGGGGGTGGGGTTGGGGGTGGGGCCGGGGCTTCCCCAGGTTGAGGTTCGGCTAAGGCCTTCGGCTAAGGCCTTCGGTCAAGGCCGCGGCTGGCTCAGCGGCTCCCGGCAGCCAACAGTTGGCCCGCAAAGTGAGGCCGCACCGCGATGGGTGAGGTCCGGTCCCGGCTGCCCTGGCCCGAGGGGCGACCTGCGGGGACCCAGGGACGCGACAGGGGAGACCGAGGGGCCGGGAGAGCGGCTGGACGATAAAGGTGAACAATTCCCCGAGAGAGACACCTGCCTTATCTTCTGTGATAAGCACACTCTTTTCTTTCTGGAGTTTAAGTTTTCTAGATACAACAGTCACCACCCTAACGAAGTTAGGATAAAATTAGCCTAACCTCATTTGACCTTGTCTTTCTCAGAAGTTTTCAGTCCCCCAGCCCGTGCGACGCCCGCTGTCACCATCAACTGCTCGACCATTTAAGGCTGTAAGACACGATGATTCTTGCATGGAGGCTTTTTATAATCCTCAGCCCACAAACCTTAAAGTTCCTCAGGCCACGCTGCACACAGAAGCGCTTGTCTCTACCTTTACCTTACACCAGGTTATATTATTTGGACTACTCTGCAGTTGAAATGTTAAGAGGCACATTCAGATTAGTTTATGGCAGCTTGAGTTATTTCTTAATTTCTTTTAGAAACACGAGAGAGGCAGCTCTTTGGATGTTGCTACTCACTGAGAAAATCAAGAAAGGGAAACCAGGCAGAGAGCTAGACAGTTGGCAAGAACACTCCAGGCTGAACCACACCAGGCGGGGTGGAGCAGTGCCCATACAGGTGCCTCCTGAGAGTTCCTCTGGTTCAAAGGAAGGTCGCAGATGGAAAGGAGAGGGTGGTAGGGAGCAGGAATCACTCTAGTGATACAAAGGGCGTTTCCTGCAGAAAAGGAGAAAGTACCTCCAGCCAGAGGATGAAGGAGTGAAAAGGAGATCTTAATACACACAGTTTTGTTACTTCACCTTCAGTTTTATTACATGGGAAACCATCTCCTCATATCCCAGAACTCTCGTTTTTATCTGCAGGGATACTGAACACCCAGCTTCTATTCAGTCCAGGACTTCTTTTTCTAGGTCACCTCTGGATGTGGTACTGCATTTATAGTAACACCTTCTGTTCCCTGTTGATCTTGTAACCTCTGGTGCATTCAATAACTTTATTAAATCAGAAAAATATTATTTCCTGCTTTTGAAAGCAAACCATCACACAAATAGAACTAGAGTTTGCATGCGGAATGAATATTTTATTACTAGATTATAAAAATAAAATACAAAATAATTTTAAAACAGAACTTAAAACACTGTACAAAGCTTTAATATGATACAAATGGGAAAATTAAATAAATAATTACACTTTTATGTACAGATGGCCTATACAAAAGCACTCTGTGTTTCTGCCAATACTCTTATGTCCTTGGTTGCCTGAGCAAAAATGCATAAAGAGGGCTGCTTGGAGGGAAAAGGTCAATACAATACCTTTGGAGGTATTTCAAAGAGCAACTTCTCATCACTCTGATTTCACCAAGAGGAGGAGAAAGGGAGAAAACTGTGGGATTATTAAAGTCTTCTATTCTACCTTACTGGTCTTGACAAGAAAATTCTTCTAGTTTGTGGTTCAATCTGATATAACAGTTGCCAAGAGTTCATAACTTTCAAGAATTATATCTAGTCAAAACTAGATGTTCCCCCTCCCTCTTTTCCCCAAAACTGTTAAACTTGTAAACAAATGGCCCAATGAAATCGACACTGGCAATTTTAGGAATGGAGTCAGGAGGGGGACCAAGAACTGTGCAGGAGGGAGGGAGTGCATGGACTCCACGTGGGTTCTCTGATCTGTTCTCTTCTTTGTTCAATTCACTCAATCCAATTTCAGAGCTGCAGGTGGCACAGTGTTGTGATCTCCCTAACTATTTCTGAATGCTTTTTACCTTAGTGAACTAACTTACCTATCTTGTGAGTCATTTAAAAAGAAAATCGTTTTGAAAAGTCCTACGGGCTTTCCTTTCCTGGGAAAGATGGCAAGAATTTTACTTCCTAAAATAAATCACATTCAAGCTCTAGTAGCCTTGTTTATCTCTTACGGGTGAGTGAAGAATACCCAGACTCCAAATATGGTGAAGTGCTGTGAATGAATTTTGAAGGATTTAAAAATGTGTATTATAAGGTGGGGAGAAAGTATCATATGGCAAGGACAGTCTATATTAAAACCTTGGGTTTACTCAATGTTTTTAGCTGGGTGAGTGAACATTTTTGTACACAATATGAAACGGTATTAAACTACTGAAAAGAGGTAAAATTCCTATCTATCATTAGTGTGTAAAATGATGTCATTGGCAAATTCTATAGTCACATGGGCTCAAAGATTTGCCTATGGAATCCTATTCTGTAGGTCAAGGAACCCAGAACCACTGGCCCAGAGTATCTAAGAGACGTGTCAGCATCACCAGTGATACATACTATGCCCATACTGTCACTGCCAATTGAAGAGGCAGGATCTGTGAAAGTTTCACAGGGTAATGAAGGAAAAGGCTTCACTTGTTTTACATGTCTCCTTAAAACCAAAGATCCAGCAAAGCGTAAGAAGTATTCAAATTATTACTAAATGTTACTTGTTGGCTATTCCCTTTTTTGAAGATTGTGTATAATAACCACAAAGTGATCTTGATCTTGTCACACATTTCCATTTTCTGATCCAAATTTGCTCAAGGGGAATAATTAAACATCAAACTTACATTTTAAAAGTCAGAGCAGATAATCACAACTCAATTAGGCAATGTAGTGATGGGCCAGGACGCTAATGTCATCATTTCATGTCCAGCCAGGGATTTCTCAGGGACTGAGGTGTGCAGCATCCAAATTCTCCTTTAAATTAATAGGGATCCTTGTCCCTTGTCCTGGAGTCACTTAAAAACTACAGGAATTCCCATATACCTCCTGCAGTTCTCCATTGCACTGCTGGCAGCAGATTCTGCAGGCTCCCACGACTATCTGGGTTCACTTTCTCCTAATTCCAAAGGGAGAGCCAAACTATTGAGAAATCTAATGGTGCGACGTTTCCACATTCCTCCCACATCCTCGAGGTGTACATCAGAGTTCTATCGGATGAGGACAGGGAAGCAGGATGTCCTAAAAAGCACCTGGCATTTTCTGTGCACCAAATCCTCCCATACAGTCTGAGGACTGCAGCTGCTGCATGTTCCCTTCTGTAAGTTAAGGTCTAAATCTGCACCTCTGGATTCAGAACTTGGGTAAATATTGACATATGACGACTACCACTGTGGTTACGTGCCTCAATCCTGTAATACTTTTTGTGTTAAAACATAGATGAGTAGCTCTTCTGCAAATAAACTGTACAGACCCAAACTCAAGAAAGTTAAACAATGCCACTGTCATCAACCATTCTATCTCCTCAGTGATACAGGTGCCAAAATATGTCTCCATTTAGGCAACGTCCCAAAACATCTGTGGTAAATGCACATAAACAGAAATGGGCAGAATATAAAAGAGTGAATGCAAACAAGTTAATTCCAAAATACATGAACACGAGAGAAGAAATGGTTCGCTAACATATGACATGTTTGGATAGATCTAAGGGAATGAAAAAAGTTTTAAAGTGTAAAAAACTTTGATCTCCCAAGACTAACTCTAGACTTATCTACAAATAAATATATTTTCAAATAGCCAGAATAAGATGCATTTTTTCCCCTAAGTCACTAAATTCTGAATTCCCAATCCTGTTTCTCCTTTCACCAATTCCTAATGTTAGATTCAGAATGTAGTTCCTAGAACAAAGAACCCTCTGGGGGAAAAGCATCTGTTTTTAATTCAAAACTATGGGGTATAGAAAAACTAATTATAGTTTTAACTATCTGCGTGTGGGTTTATCAAACATGCACCAATGTACACTTTTTCCTTGTAGATTGAATGCAACCATAGAAATATTTGCATAAAAATCTGTAGCCTGGAAGGAATCTCTGATGATGACCAAAGAACTTCAAGTTCCCCTAGTGGCTGGGAGCTGAAAAGAAAGAGATACTGCACAACTAGTCCACTGAATCAGGAAGCAGCTCAGATTTGCTGAGTATTTTAAAGCAAATAATACAAAGTGGATAATGACAACAGTGGTATCAATGACCATTTTGCTACTTATTTAGAACTGGACTGACTTGGCAACTTTTACAAAAAACATTCCCTTCACAACATGCAACTTAAGAAACAGTAAATATGATGGTGCCCTTGGTCAGCAAGGCCAGCTTGCATACCAAGTTGGGAATAAGGGCACCTGCCTGAGACTTACCATTCAAAGATGTTTACATGCTGTGCTTTAAGCTTACGCCTAATATGATCCAATTTTCCTTTGTTCACTATACATTAAAGTTAAATACCTTTATGCTGCGCAAAAGATTCTCAGGTGAAACTTTAATATTTCAAACAGTCTGTACACCCTGGAGATTTGGCAGCATAATGTAAGAAGAATGCTACCTACAGGGAATGAGCTAGTGCTAGTCCATTTTCTGCTCCACACATAATTCCAGAGACTAGACATGACGGTGTAAGGGCAAGTGTGACTAGGGTTTGCCATTTTGTTGTGAGAAGAGAAACCAGGAGGCACTTGATTTTCAAAAGAGAATTTTAACTTTTGCCCCATACTATGTTTAGTATAGTTTGGCTGGACTTTTAATTAATGGCCATGTTCCTTAGGTAGAATAACCAAACTGATTTAAAATTGCTTGATCTGTGTTTGTCACTGAGATCTGAAATATGCCAACACTAAAAAAAACAAAAAACAAAAAACACACCAAAATAAATAAAAAAGAAGGAACTAAAACAACAACAAATAACCAA